CTATGTATTAATCCTTTGTTCTTATTGCCCCGTTAGGCCAACCACAATGGTCAGCTGACCGGCAACATTGAACTGGCCGAAGGCGAGACCCCACTGCCAACGGGCTTCTCTGGCAACGAGGAGAACGCCGGCGGTGCGCACGGCCACGATGACGAGCCGATGAGCGAAATCTACATCCACCAGGCCATCCACACCATCGAGTACGTGCTGAGTACCATCTCGCACACGGCCTCCTATCTGCGTCTCTGGGCTCTGTCCCTGGCTCATGCCCGTAAGTATCCCTAAAAGTGGTCCATTGAATTCAGTTACTGATGCCTCATAAATTGCAGAGCTCTCCGAGGTGTTGTGGCAAATGGTGTTGTCCCTGGGCCTGAAAATGCAAGGCGTGAGCGGTGCCATCGGTCTGTTCATCATCTTCGGCGCCTGGTGCCTGTTCACCCTGGCCATCCTGGTCCTCATGGAGGGTCTGTCCGCCTTCCTGCACACCCTGCGTCTGCACTGGGTCGAGTTCATGAGCAAGTTCTACGAGGGAATGGGCTACGCCTTCCAGCCCTTCAGCTTCAAGGCCATTCTCGATGGCGAGGAGGAGGAGTAAACCGTGAACCTATTCGAATGTGCTCAAACTAGGGAAATATGTATACAATTATCGGCGAGCTTTGTTTACCCCCAGCCCGAACTATTTTGATTGTTTGTTAAATATTTTTGTTTTGTTTAATTTTTTTTGGATATTGTCAGTATTGTGGTGCTCTTCCCACATTTTTTTTGTATCCTCCGTTTTGTATTCCACATATGGTCAAAGTATTCCTCTTTTGAGTTGTGCCTAGTATTCTCAAAAACCCCTTTTAAAAGCAATAATTTGATATTCATTGTTATAAATAACTACTTATACAAATACTAATTGTAATAAATATACAGCAAAGAAGAGAACAGCAAATATGTTTGAAATGTCTATTTATGCAACGTTTTTTAGGACGTCTTTCCTAGTGAACTTGGGAATGAGTTTGGTTGTAACTTTTATAAAGGTTTCATTTCATTTGTATAGTATTCTTTTGGGATGTCCTAAAATATTGTTAGTCATCCAAATATTTACTTTTATATATGTGATGAACAGAAAATCACTTTGTAATTATCTAACAATTGATTTTTAATTCTAACTGGCAAACTATTTACTGATAAGTGAAAGACTGGGAAAGGGGAGTTGCAATTGAGGGAGCGGACATTCCATCATGTTGATGGATGGATCAATTGGGCCCCAAGTTCCCCAAATATTTATCCAAGGCAGGCGAATCGTTTCCACTGATAAGCCTGGAAAGTAGCTCGTGGGTCAGCAACTACCACAGAACCTTCCTCGTCCAAGTCAAGTGACCAGAACGATCAGTTCTTCAGCGGCGCTCCAATAGTGTGGAGCCCAGTCCGGAATCTTGTAGCCCGGAAAAGGAACACAAAATCCGTAATCATGGCCAAGTGGTGGAGCAATAAGGAGAGCGACAGCATTTTTCGCAGCGAGGTGATGTCCTTGGTGCAGATGTATCTGCAGCCGGAGGCAGCCTACGATACGATCGCCGCCCTGGGTGAAGTGGGAGTTGTCCAGTTCCGTGACGTAAGTGATTTCTTAAAAGGGTATAAAATGGAAGATTCTGAAACTATGGTATAGCAACAGGTTAGTTGTCCCAAAGCGAATAGCATGAAATTCTAATTATTCCAAAGAAATTAACAAAGAATTGGCTATCTTTCGTTTTACATCGATACTATCAATCTAAGGATATAAATTGATTAAGGATATACAATTAATGTTATGTTTAAAGTATTTATTATCCAAGCGGATAGCAAGAAATTCTAATTATTCCAAAGAATTGAACAAATAATTGGCTTTTTTTCGTTATACATCGATACTATCAATACAAGGAAATAAATTGATTTAGGATATAAAATTAATGTTATGTCTAACCTATTTATTATTCCCATCCCCTATTGATAGCTAAATGAGAAAGTGAACGCCCAGCAGCGAAAATTCGTCGGCGAGGTGAGACGCTGCGATGAATTGGAGCGTCGCATCCGTTACGTGACCGCCGAGCTGAACAAGGAGGGTCACAAGGTGCTCGACCTGATGGATGACTTCCCGCCGGCTCCGCAGCCGCGTGAGATCATCGATTTGGAGCTGCATCTGGAGAAGACAGAGACCGAGATCATGGAGCTGGCCGCCAATAATATAAATCTGCAAACCAGCTACCTTGAGCTGAGCGAAATGATCCAAGTGCTGGAGCGCACCGATCAGTTCTTCTCGGATCAGGAATCGCACAACTTCGATCTGAACAAGAAGGGCACCCACCGCGATCCCGAGCAGTCCAATGGCCACCTGGGCTTTGTGGCGGGAGTGATCAGCCGGGAGCGGGAGTACGCCTTCGAGCGGATGCTGTGGCGCATTTCCCGCGGCAATGTCTTCGTCCGCCGCTGCGATGTGGATGTGGCCCTCACGGATCCCAAGACGGGCAGTGTTCTGCACAAAAGCGTCTTCGTGGTCTTCTTCCAGGGCGATCAGCTGCAGGCCAGGATCCGCAAGGTGTGCACTGGCTTCCATGCCCACATGTATCCCTGTCCCAGTTCGCATTCCGAGCGCCAGGAGATGGTGAAGAACGTGAAGACGCGGCTGGAGGATCTGCAGGCCATCATTAACCAGACGAGTGACCACAGGACCTGCGTCCTGCAGGCTGCCCTCAAGCAGCTGCCCACCTGGAGTGCCATGGTCAAGAAGATGAAGGGCATCTACCACACGCTGAACCTGTTCAACGTGGATCTGGGCAGCAAGTGCCTGATTGGCGAGGGCTGGGTGCCCAAGCGGGAGCTGGAGCTGGTGGAGGTGGCCCTCGCCGCGGGCTCAGCCAGTGTGGGCAGCACTGTGCCCTCGTTCATCAACGTGCTGGACACCAAGAAGGAGCCACCGACCCACTTCCGGACCAACAAGTTCACGCGTGGCTTCCAGAATTTGATCGATGCCTACGGAATCGCCGGCTACCGGGAGGTGAATCCGGGTCTGTACACCTGCATCACCTTTCCCTTCCTGTTCGCCGTGATGTTCGGCGATATGGGTCACGGCACCATCCTCTTCCTGCTCGGTTTGTGGATGGTCATTGACGAGAAGCGGTTGGTCAAGAAGCGCGGTGGCGAGATCTGGACCATCTTCTTCGCCGGACGCTACATTATCATGCTGATGGGTCTGTTCGCCATGTACACGGGCTTCCACTACAACGACATCTTCTCCAAATCGATCAACGTCTTCGGCACTCGTTGGGTGAATGTCTACAATCGAACCACCGTGCTGACCAATCCCACACTGACTTTGAATCCCTCGGTGGCCACGCGCGGCGTTTACCCCATGGGCATCGATCCCATCTGGCAGTCGGCCTCCAACAAGATCATCTTCCTGAACACCTACAAGATGAAGCTGTCGATCATCTTCGGAGTGCTGCACATGGTCTTCGGCGTCTGCATGTCGGTGGAGAACTTTGTGTTCTTCAAGAAGTACGCCTACATCATCCTGCAGTTCGTGCCGCAGGTCCTCTTCCTGCTGCTCATGTTCGGCTACATGTGCTTCATGATGTTCTACAAGTGGGTCAAGTACAGTCCGACCACCGACATAACGGCCGACAGTCCCGGCTGCGCTCCCTCGGTGCTGATCATGTTCATCGACATGGTGCTCTTCAAGACGGAGACGGCGTCGCCGGGCTGCGAAGTGAACATGTTCCCCATCCAGCGAAATCTCGAGATGATCTTCCTGGTGGTGGCCATTCTCTGCATACCGTGGATACTGCTCGGAAAGCCTCTGTACATTAAGTACCAGCGACGCAACAGGGTGAGATTTTGGGGATTGAATATAGGGTTCGGAAATTGACACACAAGTTAAAAACATGAAAAATAGTATTTTACATGTGTGTCAAATACAAAAGTGTTAAAATGAGAAAAATAATTGTTAGCACACACAGCTCACTTGTGTTTTTTACACAATGCGTTATTAACACAAATGAAAATTACATTTCATTTCGTGTTAAAAACACGCTGTGTAAAAAAATCGTCGTGTAAATAACAGAAATGACATATGTGTGTTACTTATGTTTCGAACATATGTAGGATACAATTTTTTACACACAAGTCAATAACTTTTTTTGACCTTAACACTTTGACATTTAACATGTTAATTGAATATTGATTGAATATAATTTCTACCCTTTAGCCCGCCGGCCCAGTTGTGGAGGTTGACGAGATCGTGGAGAAGATCGAGGTTACCACAGGCAAGGAGATCATCATTACGGAGGTAGCCGAAGCCCACGAGTCGGGCGGACACGACGAGGAGGATGACGAGCCAATGAGCGAAATCTGGATCCACCAGGCCATCCATACAATCGAGTATATCCTCAGTACCATCTCGCACACGGCCTCCTATCTGCGTCTCTGGGCCTTGTCTTTGGCTCATGCCCGTAAGTCTAATGATTCTCCAATTGATTCTCTACTAATAGGAGATCTTGTTTCAGAGCTCTCGGAGGTGCTGTGGACCATGGTGCTGGCGATGGGACTGCAGATGAACGGCTATGTGGGCGCCATTGGGCTGTTCTTCATCTTTGCCGTCTGGGAGTTCTTCACCATCGCCATCATGGTGATGATGGAGGGTCTGTCCGCCTTTCTGCACACTTTGCGTCTGCACTGGGTGGAGTTCATGAGCAAGTTCTACGTGGGCAACGGCTATCCGTTCACTCCCTTCTGCTTCAGAGACATATTGATCGTAGTCGAAGATGATTAAACGGTCAGGGAATGAGTCCCTCATTTTTAAGAAAGTTAAATAAAGAAGCATTTCAAAATCAAGTAGTATGCTTTATTTATTTAAGTTTTAACAAACGGAAAAATGGTCTTTTGGTTTGTATTCAAGTTGTTATCCCAATTAATTTCAAGTTGAGGTTATATTTCATAATCTTTGATAAATCAAATCTTCATTTTTTAAGTTAGTGAGGAAATAGTAATGATAAACGTTTGGCTTCTTCATTATATGTTGTATTCTCTACATTAGTAACGATTGAGTTTTTTGACCGACTTCTGGATGGAAATTTCCGATTTAAGGTTTTCGATCAATTCGCTGTTATGAAAATAAGAACATTTTTTCATTAGGAGTCTAGCTTAAGGATCATAAAAAATGTTGTAAGTTTTTATATACATTAGTTTAAATGAATAAATTTGTTTTCTATGTTTTGTTTAACAACCTAGGAGGCACATTTTTGTAGTTACTTACGTGGCATCCCGTTCGACGTGCGCTAGAGCACGGATTTCACCAAGCAAGGACTTTTTGGTATCGATGAATGACTTCTTTTTAATCAAAAGCTCCTCGGCTTTAGCAGAAGTCTCTTCACGTATTTTGGCCACTCTCTTAGACACCTCGGCAATGCATTTCTTTAGTTCATGGTATGGCTGAAACAGTACGAAATTTTTAATTAAATAAATTTCAAGAAACATGAAGAAATTGTTTGAATATGAATATAATTTAAGGGAAAAGTTTTGGAAATATTAATTGAATTTAATTTCGCGACTGCAATTGTAAACCGTATAAGTATTGCAAGTAAGAGAGTTATTTATAGTCCCTAGAGCTCAGGAGCACCCCACATACCATCGCAGTGTATTCATCAAAGGGACTCTCCTTCATCAGCGGCTCCTTGGCCTCGTTGGCTTTCTTGCTTTGATCATCGCAGGAACGATCCATTTTATTCTTTACTTCGAGCAGCTTCTTCAGATTCTCTATAATCTTAGCGTTCTTGGAACACATAGCTCGGATATCGGGCTGCAGGCTCTGACCTGTCCTGACATGTGTCAATTTGCACAAAGCGCGGTACTTTTCGGCCATGAGTTCATTCATCTGATTCTTCATATCTGCGATCCGTGCTGCTCGACGTGCATTTTCGGCACGCTGCATTCAAAATGAATGTTAGTTTAAGCAAAATATTGCAAGGATTCGTGACTTGCCAATTCAATCAGGTTTTTCTGCAAAGAAGCGTTCACAGCCGGGTCCTCTGCAGGTTGTGCCGCACCTTCAATATTCTCCTTCTTTTCGTTGTCGGAAGTCATTGTTTTGCTAGTTTGCGGTCCTCAATTTAAGTTTTATTTGCCTTTTTTATAATATTTTTAAGCTCGGCGAAAAATCTGGCGGAATTTCTGGCAGAAGTAAAAGCAAGATGGCGGAACTAGTGTTGAACAACGACCAATATGTCGATTTCGATAGCAATCGATGGCACTGATTTCGATATCGATCTATTTTAGAGCGCACTCTTTAAATTTTAAAAACGTTAAGTAGCAACGTTAACCAAAATCTTTAAAATTGTTAAGCGAATGTTACTTTATTATCTCTAATAAAATAGCTGTAATATTAGCGAACACATAAATACCTATACCTATTATCATTTCTTATCGTTACTTGGTGAAAATAATAACTAACTAAATTTTAAATAGCTTATAAAAAACAATCAGAAAGGTGAGTTTACTCTACAGAGCAGTTGGTAAATATAATTTGGTGTGATATATCTTATAAAAGGTCATTGTAACTTTAAACTTTCATGGGTAACCTTTTTATTTGTACGTTCTCCGTACTTCACTTCTAATAAACCGTGACCGTGAGCGAGGATGCCTAAGAAAAGTGGCCTCTGCAGTCTAACCCCAACCTCAGTGGGTCAGCTCATGGTTCATTGATAAACGCAGCATTCCGACCCACGGCCCACTTTCATGTGGGTTTGGGTTACGTTGGGTGGTGCAGCGCAAAAAGGTCACTCCAAATGCATTGAGGGCAGCGCTCAGCGGAAAATTATTGCGGAGGGCAGCGAAATTGGATGGAAGTGCTCAGTCTGGGAGTTTATTTAGAGGTGGCTAATTCCAGAACTCCGGTCAGTTGTGGAGCCATCGAGCAACGGGCAGGTCTCCAGTCCATCCATCTCTAAGTATCTCTAACTCTGGATTAAAGTATGTGGTATTTGTCTGTGGTTCTCTTGGGCCTCGCGGTTGTCTGCTGGGCTGATACCCTGGTTCAGCTCCATGTGAATCGTCCTTACAACGATGTGAACGAAAAATTTGTGAGTTTTGCCGTCCGGCCGGAGGATCTGTACGATGCTCTGGATGGTAAAAATCGCAAGGCCGTTACCAATTTGGCCAATCTGCTGGGAGATGCGCACATCAAGTTCGTGGGCGATTTCTATTTTGCCAGCAATGCGCCGAGTAGACTGCGAAATCCCACCAAGATTATTTGGAAGGGCTTCAATCGCTGGACGCGGTAAGTCGGTTACCTCCGCTCCTATTTTCCTCTCACATAATTTAAGAGTTTAAATTCGAAGGGCCGTCAACTGGACCATGATCATTCCCGTTCCTTATGCCCCCGATGAGTGGGACTCCATGCACACGCTCAAGATCCTGAACACCTCCTATATGGTGGGCATCACCGACTGCATCTGGCAGCTGGGCACGGATTTTGGAACCTCGAGGGCCAAGGATTACGTCCAGGAATTAAGAACTCTCAAGCTGATGACGGATACTTTTAAACCCTATGTGGACGACTGGCGACTGATGGGGGCTGACATCTCGGCGGGAAGCAGTGCCGATGAGACCAAGAGATATGTGGAGATGTCCAAGGATCTGAATACGGCTTTTGGTTGGACACAGTAAGTTCAGGGATTATACTCTTGCAGAGGGTATTATAATTTCTCTTAGTTTTAAAGCTATCGGGTTAAAACTTTCGCAAAAGTTTTCTTTCTTTTTTTATGTAGCATATATGTCGAAACAATCCGGATCGGACAACTATATCATATAGCTCCCATAGGAATAATCGGGGAAAAAAATGTAAAAAAATTATATCTTGGGTGTTTTTTAACATATAACCTCCTACATTTGAAAATACCATTTTTTATTCAATTCTGAATTTCGAATACAATTTTTTCAAAATCGGAACACTATATCATATAGCTGCCATAGGAACGATCGGAAAATTAATGAGTAATAATAGGAAATTTAACATTTTTACGATTTGTAAATTAATAGGAATGATCTGCTTGGTTTTATATAGTTTATTATACCACGTCTCTTAGGCCCGCCAACATGCTGCCCAAAACGAGTCTGGGAAGCTATCTGTACGACAGTGATCCTGCCCTGCGAATCCTTCAGCAACAGCGGGTTCCCTTGTGGCTGACCCTGCCGGAGGAGCGATCCTCGCAAAGGATGGTGGGTGACGAGACCACGGATGCCCTGCGTTGGGCCCAGACTATGGGCGATGCGGCCGCCAGTGGATTCGATGTGATCTTCAAGCGAATGACCCTGCAGGATTTTGAGCGACCCAATTTCGGTCTTTATGTGACGGCGCTGTTCAAGAAGGTCATGGGATCGCGGGTGTTTCCCGCCCGACCTCTAAATGTCTTTGCCCCCAGCAACAAGCTGTATACCCATTGTGCGAATGCCGTCTCCGGAGGATTGGCCTTCATGGTGGTCAACACGGAGGAGCAGCCCACCACGATTACGGTGAAGAGTTCCATGAGCAGCAGTGAGATCTGGCAGTATGTGCTCACCGGTCTGGAGCAAAGGGTGCAGCTGAATAATGTCCGTTTGCATCTGAACACCACACTGCGTCCCCTGATCAAGCCCATTGATCCAACTAAACCCCTTCAGCTGATCACGCCCAGCATGTCGGTGAGTTTCTGGGTTCTGCCCGATGTCAATCTGGAGCACTGTCAGTTCACGGAAATCGAGGCGGGGGATTCCAGTAGCGAGTCTTCCTCCTCCAAGGAGAAGCGTCGTTCATCTCGGTACAGTTCCGCCGATCGGTTGCTCCAACGGTTGATCGAGGAGACGGCAGTGGCCAGGGGATCGGTGCAGAGTTCCATCAATCGCAATCGGCGGTTTGTTATCGATAAGGAGGAAACTCCAGAGACTCTTCTCGATCGCCTGCTGCAGCATTTCAAGGATGACGATCCTCTGAAGCGGGAGGCGGGCGATGACAAGGACCAATCCAAGACGCAGTCTGTAAAGCCCCACAAGGCTTTGGCCTGGCTATACCAGGTTCTTGAGCAAACCCGCGATATGGACAAAAAGCGTTCCAAGCGCAGCACTTCCAGCTATTCGGGACCCTTTTTCTACAATCGTCAGGGCAAGAAAACCGCGCTGACCAAGAAGATTACCGAGATCCGTAAGCCCGAGAGAAAGAACAAACCGCTCTTCGACTTTGACGAGTTTGATGAGGAGAAGTTCTTCAAGCGGATCGGTGAGAAATCCGAGGAGACACCCACTTATACGCGACTGCCGGAAGGTGATGTGCATCTGAAGCATATAGAGAGTGTGGATGGCGAGGAGCAGGAGCAGGAAGCTGAACAGGAGGTACCCAAGAAACGCCGAACCAAGGTCAAGAATCAGCTGAAGATCATCAAAAGGGTCGAGGAAAAGGAAGATGAACAGGAGCAGGAACCGGAGCAAACAGAAGGACGCGCCAAGCTGCGTCTACTGCCCACGGAATTCTTCGAGGCTCTGCCGGCTCCCAAGCCGAGCAAGCGACTGAATCTGGGCGCCACCTTGAACTCCCTGCTCTTTCCGGAACCCTTCTCCAGCAAGGCTACCATGGCCAAAGGGGCTTCAATCAAATCTAAAGCTGTAGAAGAACCCGAAGAGGATGTGGTGGAACCTGTACCAAGCGCCAGGAGACGGCACTCCAGAATAGGTCACGTGGCCAATGATTTTCTGCAGGCCCAGCAGGAGCTGGGAAAGCATTTCCTCAGCCACATTAACGAACATGAGCACGAGTTTTCCCTGGGAGATGAGGGCATGCGGGAGAGTTCGCTGGAGTCGGAAAGTACCGGGAAGAAATCCCTCACGCAGGACCTTTTTGGATCAAAGAAATCAGCCCCTGCTCTGCATCAGAAATTACCCCAGAAGACGGCGGATGAAGGCATCACCTCCTGGTGGGATCTTCCGGCGATGAGAAGACGTCGTGCCCTTACCAATTCCCTAGATGAACTGCCCTCGAATGCCATCGATAAGGCGGATCGCGATGAGATGCTGCCCCTGGGAAAGTACACCTTTTACGAGTACAAGGTGGATAGCAACTCGGAAAAGCCCAAGGAGGAGAAGGAGTCAAAGATCATGAAGAATAACAGCAGGACACAGACTTCTGGCAAAGATCGCAGTCTCACCAAACTCTCCGAAAGTCTCGTTAGCACTGTGAAAACAAAGGTCTCTCGCTTCATAAACATCATCTCCAGCCACATGAACGAGTGGTACAACACCTTGACCAAGCACTTGGATGCGGATTCGGAGATTCAAAGGCCACGCAGGGAAAACAGCATCGAGAAGTAGAAACATTTTATCTTATGATTTTTAACTTACTTGTGTATACCATCTTCATTGAAATCTAATGTAAATATGTATTGATGTATAATATACTCCTTGTTTGCATTTAATGAAAGATTATTTGTGCGATAGCTCTCGAGGAACTATCTCACTCAAATAAAAATTCACAGGACTCAAGCAACGAACTAGATGGGCTTAGGCTAAGCTTTTACTAGATTGGATGAGCTTTCTATATTGTACTTATTCATATGTCATCTGCAAAATAAAATGAAATACAAATTACATTTTGTGGATTTATTTATGTCATGTAAAGGCACATTTTACTTCTTTTAAAGTTTAGGGAAGTGATATATATTAAAATTATAATAGCCTTTTCACGATTTTATTAAGTTTCTCATGCAGTAATAATGTTTTGGCTGTTACCAAATGTAATTACTTGCCATTATTTTAATCATAATTCGAAGCTCATTGCTTGAAAAGCCTTGTGAAGCTCCCGACAGGTGGCTTTTCCAGACCCGCTTTCTTGGAACCCACTCCCCAGATCTTTCTCTTATTGCTGGTAACTATTTTTTCTCCCTCTTTGCTGCGCTCTTTCTTGAAAACGGGCGCAAAGAGGAGCCAAGAAAGCGGCTAACCTGTTACCATGGCTATAACTGAAATAACAAAATCACCGCGACTATGGCAATACCAAACCAGTGGAGACGATCGCGCATTCTCCGCAGCCTCGGCTTTATAATCGGAATTCGGATTTCAGTCTCCGCACAGTCGTTCAAGGCGAAGGTTGTGGCTCAAGCTTTTGGATCTTCCGATTCCGATTCGTTCCGCAGATAGTCCAAAGTGCAGGCCGCCAGCAGTTGCAATAACTTACAGATCAGCCAAGAGCCAAAAAAACAGGTGAGTTTGCATTAAAAACTAGTCTTCGGCTTTGGCTAAAAACAGCGAACAGAAGTCGAAAACGGGTCAGTTCTAGACTTTCCTATATAGATCTTTTTAAGACTGCATTTTAGGGCGCGGTTCTTCGGGAAAGAACGGGGGGAATTCTTAAGAGGTGCATGCAAGCGTAACCAGAGCCAGTCTTCGGAGTCGGAAATCTTCGTGACGTGGACAGCAAAACAAAAGAAAAGCTGAAAAGAAATGAAAAAACCAGAAACTCAAAACTTAAAACTACATGAAACTTCAGACTTTCTTTCTTTTTCAACCTTCTTTCTTTTCGGCTGCCAATGAACTTTGTTGTATGTTTTTTTTCTTTCGGCGTTTCATCATAATAAGCCATAATTACGCACATGTGTGAAAGTGAAAGTGTAAGTTTTCACAACAGTCCCCAAAATCGATTTCTTGACAGTCGCTGATAAACGATTTGAGTTATGAAAACCTCCGCCGACTGACCGATAAACCGAAAAACTGAAACCCCAAAACCCAAAACCAAACTCGTTTCGTTTGGCCCTAAGACAATCGTCTGGCCTTCGTTGTCTCGGACATTATATAATCTGATTTGCATGTTTGACACGAATATTCATTCAATATGTAGTATACACACCTCGCAATATTTGTAGGATGGGTTTCATCTTCGGTTGGCTGCCAACCGAGCACTATGTTCGCGACATCTTCCTCATGACTTTTTTCGCCGCCATAGTGGCCACTCTGATGAGCATTCGGTTCTATCTGCGAATCACGGCGGGACGATGTTTCACCGAGGTAACGAATGAACCTCCCCAATTGCCAAAATCCAACCCCAGTAACCACGATAACCAAAAATGCAGTACCCAACGCAAAAATCGCTACACGACTCGAATAATTTTTCCCTTCTTAAGCCTGCTTTACCCACTTCCGCCTGGAATTCTTCTCAGATCGTATAGATAGAGTCGTCATACAAATATAAATTGTACTATAATTTCTTGCTTACTCTTGGAGACAGTGGATCTCATTCATACCATAGATGGGTTAAGACTTTAGGTTAGGATCATTAACTAAACATCATTTCCTTGCACAAAAGATAAATATTGAGATTAATATAATATGTAATCCTAATTAATATATCTCAAGCTTAGGAAAACTTTATAGTATCTGGAAAACCCCCCAATAAATTAAAAAGTTCCGTAGCCTGTCAACATTCCAAATATGAAAATCTAATTACTATGAATTCACTGCTCGTAAAACGCTGCTCGATCTTGTTATTACATTGGTCAGTTATGACGCGTCGACTTAATTACAGATTTAATTAGATACCTTCCGAGAGATGCGGTACGTCACATCTGTGATATACGGTTACCACCTGACCGTACATTGTCTAGATCCCACAAAACATCTAAGCTTTAGTATCTCGGTTACGATCTGGGCAATGCGATCGCTTACCTGTGATTCACAGAAAGCTCTCAATTCTCGGACGGCAATTAAAAGACCCGTTAATGGGTATGGAAACTAAGATACCTTCCGTTCCAGACGAACTCCGATTACAGTGACTACTGTGACCAAGTGCCCACTAATTACTATTGTAAACACATTTCCGAACCGCCCAAGACCTTGTCATTTTTGATCCCAGCTTTTAAATCCAATCAGCTGATTAACCTCTGACATTGATTACAGACAAAGATGGAGGGCAAGACGGTTATCATCACTGGCGCCAACAGCGGAATTGGCAAGGAGACGGCCAAGGATCTGGCAGGACGAGGAGCCCGCATTATTATGGCCTGCAGGAACCTGGAGACTGCCAATGCCGTTAAGGGTAAGTGGTTTAAAATATAAAAAACTATGTCTTCCTAATAAATTTAAATGGAATGAGGTTTGCTACATCCAAATTCCTGTCTTTTCTAATATTTATTAATAATTAAATGTTTTAGGCTTTTTAATTAATTCATGTATTCATTTATTTTTAAAATATTTGAAGACCTGGCCATATTATTAATATTACATTTCAATAATATTACATTAATCAAGGTAAATTGCCAAGCTAATAGTTGATTTCCTAATTTACAGACGAGATCGTCAAGGAGACGAACAACAGCAAGATCCTGGTTAAGAAACTGGACCTGGGCTCCCAGAAGTCCGTCCGCGAGTTCGCCGCTGACATTGTGAAGACCGAGCCCAAGATCGATGTGCTGATCCACAATGCCGGCATGGCCCTGGCCTTCCGCGGACAGACGAGCGAGGACGGCGTGGAGCTGACCATGGCCACCAACCACTATGGTCCCTTCCTGCTGACGCACTTGCTCATCGATGTGCTGAAGAAGAGCGCTCCGGCGCGCATTGTCATCGTGGCCTCGGAGCTGTACCGCCTGTCGTCGGTCAACCTGGCCAAGCTGAACCCCATCGGCACCTTCCCGGCTGCCTACTTGTACTACGTGTCCAAGTTCGCCAACATCTACTTCGCCCGGGAGCTGGCCAAGCGGCTGGAGGGCACCAGGGTGACCGTGAACTTCCTGCATCCCGGCATGATCGATTCAGGCATCTGGCGCAACATCCCCTTCCCGCTCAACCTGCCGATGATGGCCATCACCAAGGGATTCTTCAAGACCACCAAGGCCGGTGCCCAGACCACCATCTACTTGGCCACATCCGATGAGGTGGCCAATGTCTCGGGCAAATACTATATGGACTGCAAGGAGGCCACCCTCAATGCAGCTGCCCTCGACGAGGAGAAGGGCCTGAAGATCTGGGAGGAGTCCCTGAAGATCGTCAAGCTCACGCCCCAGGAACCCAAGATCTAGACGGTTATATATGGGCCCATTAACTGATTTGCTTTTCTTGTTTTTAAGGGGGAGTTGACTGTAGCTTAAGTTTTTCATCTCAATAAATACAACTTTGTAAAATTAAAAGGTTTTAGATTAATCATACTTACCATGGTCGATCTTACTTGGTAAAAATGTTAAAAAGAAGACAACAGCTCATATACCATACCCAATTTTTAATAAGATTTTTATCACCTACGCAGCCACCACTAAACGACTTTGGGTTTTATTTTTGATCGAAATAATAAAACTCTGAGGACAAATTTTATGTGTTGATTTGCATATAAAACTCAAGGAATAACTGTTATTTTTCAAGCGGAAAATAAAACTCAGAGTTTTATATAAAACTCATGACATAATGATTAAAAAGTGATTTTTTAAATAAAACTCATAACAGTTACGATCCCTGGTTTTAATATATAGAATTTGGTATATTATAATATTACATTCATCAGATATTCATCCTGGCTGCAACGTTTCAATTACGGTTCATGAGAATTGTCGAGAACGAGAAATCACAGCGCCAATCGGGTAAAGAAACCCGATACACATGGGGAAGGCAGCCGAAAGCGGGGAAAGCCAAAAAATTCTCACACAAAATTTCGCCATACTCTCTCACCTGTTGAGGAGAACGGGAAGAGAGGGGAGGGAAGAAAGTACTCGGACTCTCAGGGGATTCTTCCGCCGACATGCATAATTATAATCTGATAAAATTGCAGTCGCATCCTCTGCTGGTTGTCATCACGAAAAGAGGGTTGCGGTTGTTCGCTTTTGGGCAGATTATTATCAGCTCTTTCGGTGGGCACGTGACCTGCTCAATGATGATAGTGCCGATCGGTGGCTAATAATATGTTAAATGGCGTAATTGAAATTTAATATTTATCCAAAGGATTTCAGGATAATCATTTGCGGTTCGCCAAAATGGCATTAAAGATAGCGGAGCGTGCGGCACCGCAGATAATTGAGATGATTGAGGGACAAAACGCCCCTTCAACGCCCTTAAAAATGCTACTGTGAGAAACTTATTGGATCTTCTCACAGCATTTGTTTGCGGAAGTGATTCCCTAATAAAAAACAAACAATTGAGTGAGTTTTTATTGCTGCATTGGTTTGTTGCAGTCCTCCAGGATAGTAAGTCCATTGATAAGGAGATACCAGTGGCGAACCCTTCTGTTTGTACTCCCTCCTTTTGTTATTCCGAAACGAAAGTATCGCCTTACAAATTCAATTTGGCGCGCTCCACTCAAGTGTACTCACAGTCGAAAGGACGAAAGGACATTGTTGTGGCCAAGTTCAGCTGTAATTCAAGTAGCTGCCCCCTTTTCTTGGGGGAGTCCTTCGACTCCTCGAGGGTTTGTAATAAGTCGCAGGCATTTAATAAGCTGGCTTAGGTTTTTAATAAGAAGTGGGTTATGGTTATGCGACAGTCCCGATCCCGGCTCGTCCAGCTGTCAGGACTCCAGTGCGTCCTTCTCATCCATCCTGTCCGGCGAATGTCAACTGGCAACGGCTGCGCCTGTCACGCGGTCATCGATACTATTCATTCGTTTTCATTGCAGAGGGGGCGTGGGCTGTAGGCCCAATTGTAGTCACAGATGTCTCGAAAACTCCGTTTCCAGAACTTTACAATTCCCACTAAAAGTCATTGCATATCATAGAAACCATATATTCGACAGCAGTTGTCGATATATTCAGAGGGGAATTTTATTTACCAGTTTATAGACATTCTTAAAATAAAAGTAAAACTAGAAAGAATTAAATTATATTCATCAAGAAAATAAATTGATCATGTTACCTAACTATCTAATTCCAATCGATTGGAAATTTAATAAGAGTTCAACGCGGTATGACATTCCATAATTAGACAATTGTTCTTGACAAAATATTTTTTTTTTTGGTAAAAAATGAGGACATATAAAATCAGCTACAAAATTTTCTTTTCCAGCATTTAGGCTAACGATCCAATTTACATTCGGGTAAATTTTAAAATATATTTAACTTGCAACCCATCTGAATTTTCAATTACTAATTTTAAAATTTGGAATATATGTTCTTCAAAAGCTTGTTAAATTTTAAAGTATTTAGACTAGCTTCTTGGAGGGTTAAAACATTTTGATAAGTCAAAGTTTATAATGTGGATTTACCTAAATGAGAATTGGAATTTCGTTATTAAATATTTTTCAATGCTTAAAAAATCTTCAAAGAATTTTCTATCAATTGCTAGATTCTTCCCTCCTTTGACCCAAGTTGGTTTAGCTCATTTTAGCCGGCATGGCAGCTAATATGACCGAATGGCATTAACATGTTGAATGACTTGAGTGGCAGCATAAAAAGCAAAGCGCAGCCAAAACCAGGAGAAGCCCCATCAGTGCCGCCCGAAAAGTATTTCATTGATTTTTGAAGCCTCGCCAATACACAACGGAATACAGAGCGGCAAAATACAGAAGGCAAAAGAAATGAAATGAAACGAACCGAACCGAAAAGAACAGAAATATACTCGTAGAATGAAATTGAGTGAAATTTGCGTTGCTGGTGGCAACATGGGAATCAGGAATCAGGGGGTGGGATGGGCCGTCATCAGGATCATGTCCTGCCGTTGTTTGTCAAGTTAAATACGCAAAACAAACAGAAGCTACCGATGAGCCGCTGGGCAAACAAATCCACGTGTGGCGATATTGTGGTTGATGGACTGGTGTGATAACAGGTCCTTCGGCGAGGGTGCTCGAAACTATTTATCCTGCGGCTTAATTTGTAGCAAATTCACAGATTCATTAGCTTTTGCGGTCACTCGGGGGGGAAGGAGTTTGATCAGCTGACACCTGAACACACCTGAGAGATCGCTCTAATTGTTATTGATACTCCAATACCCCCGGATTGACTTAGCTACCTCAAGGAGCGGATCCTAATCCGTTCTGACAATCGGCAGCAGAGACAGGCTCATGTCCTTAGCCAAGTTGTTGACATGAAACCGACACCGAAACATGAAAAAATGAAATGAAACTGGTTCGGATCTGATCAGACTGTGGATCTGATTTTAACACACACGACGCTGGCTGGGTTTGACCTGAAATTCCCATCGATAAGGTAAGCTGATATGGGGAATATATAGCTCGATATGTGTGCGATCATTGCAAGCCCTTGCACTCAACTGATTTTGCCAATTGGCGAATTCATTTTCGGGCGTGTGAACCTTTTGCCATTCGATAGGGATCGCTCTTAATTTAATTTTACATCGAAATACGTCTTTTAAGCTACAAATATCTGGATTAGACAAATGGAATGGCAAATGTTTCACAATTTTCTTTATGATTTATTCCCTGCTGCTTTTTCTGCTGCAACCACAAATCGAACTATCAAATAACATTCAAAGTATTCACAATTGTCGGCCCGGCGACAAGAGCATCGATCGATAGACAGTCGTCATTGGCCCAGCTACAACTGAGAATTGGCAGCTAGGAGATACAAAGATACAAGCAACAGAAGCAGATACACACGGCTAGGTTTAAAGATACAAGTTACAGAAGCAGAAGCAGGGAGTTGCCGACTTGGCCGATGGACTGCCTCACTTAACCACAAAACAATGGAGCGAAGGAAGCAGAATGCCGACGAAGACGATCAATGGTTGGCAAGTCCATACCAACTACCCCCTATGCCGCCCTCGGGTAACCCTTGCACTGACAGAAAATGTTATAGATATTTTTGTGAAAACAATAAAATTAAAATAATTTATTTATCTATAAATCGGACTTACTTTTGTTAAATCCTTTAATTTTTTAAGAATTTAATTTAGAATTTAGATTACATATTACATTATAATAGTTTAAGAAAAAGTTATATTTTGTATTCTAGAAATGTTTATGTGAATCAAGAATGTTAGTTAGTGTAGTGAATATACAAAACCATTGACTATTTTTTGGAAAAAAAATATAATACATTTATTCACTAAACTTTACTCCAAAAATTTCTTTACCCTTTACCTTTCATTACAAGATTATATTTATATACGATTTTTGGAAAAACATAAAGCTATAGGCATATAGGTATAAGCCTACAAGAGATTATCCTTCCTGTTTTTTTATCATAATATGTTTTCTATCTTGTGATTAACTGTTAGGAGGGTTCTTTTATAATCGTAAATGTAACAAAATATTTATAAATAAAATATTAACTAAGAGATTACTCAGTTTTTAGGTTATTGTGAAGTACAAATTATGCATAATTTTTGAAGGTGCAGTTACCCTTTTTTCTCCCCGTCTCGTTGGTATCTGGTGTCAAGCTGTAAAGGTATTGGGTGACAAATAAAAACTACTGAAAACTGCTGCCGATGTTGCTGGCCACGTATGAATGGGCCTGAAACTCGGACTGGGCGGTATCGGCGGTGGCGGTGGAGGAGGGTATGTGGACGTGGACTTGGATGTGGATGTGGATGTGGAACCGGCAGAGGGGTAGTAGCCGCAAAAGCCGGTAGACGGAGCGCATTGGTTGGCCGACAACGATGACGGCAACGTTGTTGTGGTGGTGGATGGATGGATGGTTGGATGGATGTGGAGTGGGTAGGGCATGGGATATAGGATGGTTCGGTTTGGATGGGATTTTATGGTGCCGAGAGGGGGTGCTTTGGGCAAGGGTCTCGAGTGTGTAGTGCCGGGTACTTGTGTCATTATATCTGACTGCGAGTGTGAGTGCGAGCGAGATTGTTGTTGCCACATTGCTGCTGCCGTTGTCTTTTGCGCCCTTTTGTCGCTTGTTTATAATTAAGTGAGTATTTTTTTTTTGCGCCCTGCTTCTTCCTCTGTGGTTGTCGCTTTGCTGCCGCTCTGCCTCGACTGACATATCGAGTCGATATTGGGCCGAGGTGCCTCGAACTGAAACTGACAATTAGTCGCCGTCTTATGCTCCTCGCCAAAAGTCGCTTCTTGCCCCGCACTCAAATCGAAAACTCAAAACATAGCACAACGGCTCCACATCTAACTACATAAGATTCTAATCGCAGAACAACGATCGTGTGATATTAACGCCGCGTCGAGAACCAAAAATATTAATTCTTCAAAAAAGTTCAAATAAAAGAAATTTGATAAACGAGTTAAAGTTTCCAAATCTATTGGTGTTCTTCAGATCATGCAATTTGTGAAAATATTTAGAAGGTGCGAAAATGTTTAAAAATGAAATGGTGAACCATAGTCCTAAATAACGTTAAAAAACCAGGATACTATAATATATTCAATAAACATGCTGGAAAATAAGAAATTGTTCATAATATACAGCTTATTAAAGACAATCGTCTTTTTTCAAAAGGATCAGTTAAATAAATTGCAATATCCTAAACAAAATTTTAAAATAATAAACAACTTTTCACAGATTTCAGAAGCATTGTCAAAAAAAACACAATTTTGATACATATTACAAAAATGTTTTAATGTTTTAACATAACAAACGAGTAATTTTTACATTTGTACAATTCAAATCAATAGGAAAAACTTTGCATACGTTAAATTAAATTATTTTAAATTTGATTTAAAGCTAATTTTAATATATTTTACATTTTTTCTTAGTTATAATATATAAGGTTTGTTCAAAAAGGAAATAAGTTATCGGTTTCAGTGGTATCTTTTAAATAAGACTAAGATCGGAAGATTAAGTTCATTTTCGTCTTAGCACCGATTGATTTCAATTTCGGTTATTTTGTTTTTAGTTTTGATAAGAGTAAAATATTTAAATTAAATTAACAATAAAATAAGTTTATTCGTACATCCGAATATTTTTTTGAAAAATTGCCTAAAAATTAGCTAATTTGAGCTTGTCTCATTTCGAGTACATTGTAGGTAATTTAGGACACATCTTCTTTAGCTCCAGGTTATTTGGTTTTTAGGTATAAAAATGACTTTAAATGTTTTTGATATTTTGAAAAACACACCAAGCTTCTTTATTTTAAGCACTATGGTTAAATAAAATAACAAAAACTTAGAGACCATTAATGAGTATGTTAATTTGTGAACATTATTTTATTTTCGAAGTGTGCCTTAATGATAAATATGAATATAATCTCCTCGATTACCCAAAGTAAACTTAATCGAAACGGAAAAGTATTTACCAATAATGTTCCCTCCTCGCCTTGCAGTTGGAAATTAACGCATCAAGATGAAGCGTAGAAAAAGCAGAAACAAAGCCACCAAAGCTGAGCCCAAACGTTCCAGAACTGGAGTCATGTCATGGGATTGTTATATAAGGGTTCCAAACTCCTGAACATAATTCTGGGTGAGTAAAGTGGGCACACAGAAACACTTTTGCACAGATATGCAGAGACACAGATACGAAAACGCGAGACGAGAGAGCAAAGCAAATGGCGGTCTCTCGTTCGGTTTGTGTGTTTGTGTCGCCCGATGGGCGGAGCTAACGGCACAGTGGTTGTCACGGAACCAAAACGTATCCATGAGATACGCGAGCTGCCCTCGAGCATCTCCGTCAGACTTCCAGTGGATTTTAACCGTGTTTTTTTGGCTGCGCAGATTCCCTGGAAGATCAAGAGGGTGGAGCTATGTACATATCGTGCGATGTCTCAAACGGCGGTCCTGTGGAACCAGAGACGGGCTATGTGCCCAACAATCCCCTGTTCGGCCTGGCGCTGGACAGCCCGCAGGTGAGTCCTGGATCCCCTTTTCGATTTGGCTTCAATCTCTCCGGAAATCTCCTCGCGTTCGGTTGTGCTTGCCTTTTAGCAGAGAAAAGCTGTTCTTAAATCTGTATTTTTCCCTTTAAAATTAACTCAAATTTCTGATATATTAACTTGATATTTATAGTATTTTAAATAGTGAAGTCTTTTTTTTAAGAAGTAAAAAAAAGTTGCCGATTTCCGCTAGCAGAGGGTTACATATTTTCATTATTTGAATTAAAGGTTTTTTTTATATCGTTACCTTGAAAACCGAAGACTAATTACTAAATTTCTAATTATTTTTAATTCTAAATTTCTCTCTGTATTTTTATCATTTTCGTTGGTTTAACGTTTTTTTTTTTCAATAAATAAAATCCATAAAATCTGTATTTTTTTTACATGTAATATATATTTGCAATATCTTAGCTTTCATTTTAAATTTTTTCAATTCAATTTAATTTCTAAATTATTATTAAATGATTGAGGTTTTAACGATGTGTTGAATACTTTCCTAACCGGTTCGCCTTGGCCTCCATTTCCACTTCCATTTCCGTTTCCGCTCATGCAGCAAGAGTGCGCCGCTTCCTGCGTCGGCTGTTTATCCTGCCAGGGCAGCACCGCCCTGCCCATCTCCTCGCTCACCAGCAGCGACTTTGACTGCGGCGGCTGCTTTGATCCCACGATTGGAGTGGGCGTGGGCGTGGGCATCGGTGGCGGCCACATCCAGATCAGCACCACACCGCCGGCGAGCAGCGGCAACGGGAGCAGCAACAACGGTGCTGGAGGAGGCGGAGGTTCCTCCGGAAATCACGGCTACTGGAGCACAGACGAGATGGCCTCCACGTTTCCCGGCCTTCCGCCGCTGGACATTGATCCGCTGCCCAGCCTGTTCCCCTTCTCGCCCTGCGGCGCCTCCTACAACTTTGCCGCCGGCAATCCGCACCAGGCCTCGCTCTCCTACACGGTGCATCCCCACCAGATGCTCATCTCGCCGAATTCCCACAGCCACAACCATTCGCATAACCATGGCCAGATGCACTCGCAGCAGCACCAGCAGCAATCCCAATCCCAGGCATCGCACGTCGGCAACTCGCTGCTCCAAGGTAGTAATGGTAATGGTAACCAAATTGGCAGTAATGGTGGCTCCACCGGGAACTCCGCTGCCTGCTACTACGAGACCAGTGCCGGCACAGTTCCACCTCCTCCGCCGCCGGCGGCTGCCATGTATCCCAGCATGAGTGTGAATGTCAGCATGAACATGACCATGCACCATGGTTATGGAGCAGGCGATGCCAGTGGAGTGCCGATGCAGTGTTCCCAGATGAACTGGACGCCGCCGAGCAACTCCTCCTCGGCGGCGGCGGCAGCGGCGGCGGTCAATGTGCTCTATCCACCGCTCCTGAGTCCCGGTCACTATCCCGCCTCGGCCACGTACTCCTTCACGGCGGATTTCCGGGCACCGGCTCCCACTGGCTTGGGTTCCCTGCCCCCGCTGACGGTGGGCGGGGAGAAGGAGTCCCCTTCGCCGCCGGCCAACTCCGCCTTGGGTGGTGGCTACTATCCCACGGGGGTGAGCACCCAGGGATATACGCCGCCACACAAGAGTCCCAGCAGCTACCAGGCGGCAGCCCTCGGCTTGAGTCTCTCGGGGTTCGAGGATGAGGAGGACAGCAACGAGGATCTGGACGGAGATGAGGGCAGCAGTGGCGGCGAGATGAAGCCCAATCTGTGCCGGCTGTGCGGCAAGACATACGCCAGGCCCAGCACGCTGAAGACCCATCTGAGGACCCACTCAGGGGAACGACCCTACCGATGCCCCGACTGCAACAAGAGCTTCTCGCAGGCCGCCAACCTGACGGCCCACGTACGCACACACACCGGCCAGAAGCCGTTCCGCTGCCCCATCTGCGACCGGCGGTTCTCGCAGAGCTCCAGCGTCACCACGCACATGCGCACCCACTCCGGCGAGCGGCCGTACCGCTGCTCCTCCTGCAAGAAGTCCTTCTCGGACAGCAGCACCCTCACCAAGCACCTGCGAATCCACAGCGGCGAGAAGCCCTACCAGTGCAAGCTGTGCCTGCTCAGGTGAGTCTAGGATGTTGAATTACATCCCAAAAGAATCCCACCTTTGAATGTAGTTTTGGGGGATTTTTTAAGAGCCAGTCTACTTTATTTTTCAAATATTACTTAAAAAAAAACTTTAATCTACTAGATGTTTTAACTATATCATCGCTTTTCTAATTCCAATTTTTAAACTTATAAAACATATAAATTTTTATAGAAGAAAACCACATCTGAATGTAGTTTTAGGGGAACTTTTAGGAGCCAGTCTAATCACTTTTAAAATATTTCTTTAAAAAAAAACCTTCAATATACTACCTAATTAAACTAAAACTTTGTTTTTTTAATTGTTATTTTTACACTTAAAAAACATATACATTTTTATAGAGAAAAAAGTAAAAACACATGGGTAGCAATAACATTATACAAATTTGTACCATTAAAACTAGAAAAGTGCAGTAAATATTGTTTTAAAAAAATTTCAAGAAAATTACTTTAAAATATCATTGTAACTTAACTTTTCTCGTCAGCATGTTAAACTAAAAGTAAGTTTTTAAACCTATAAACGTATAGAAAAACATGTAGAAGAGAAATAATATTTATTGAAATTTTGATTTCGGCAATAAGATATGATTTTTAAAGCATCTAAAAAAACCGTTTAATTTTTGGGGAGTTTCATGCCTCCAATAGCCATTCCACTACCTGGAAGGTACATAGACCCAAGTTAATTGCTTTTTCTTCCCCCGTACAGGTTCTCGCAGTCGGGAAATCTGAATCGGCACATGCGCGTCCACGGCAACAACAACGGCAACAATGGCAGCAATGGTGGAACCGGAGTTGGGGGCGAGTCCTCCGGCGGAAGCGGCAGTGGGGGTGGCAACAGCCTCCTCACATGACAAAAGCCACGCAGTGCAGGCGGTTTCCAGCACTACCACCCCCCGCACACGCACCACATGCACCACCATCACCACCACGCCCACATGGGCAACTACGACTACGGGAACTACAGCATCGGCGATTACACTCCACCCGGAGCCACACAAAACTATTCAGGGTATTATTTCTGCGCACTCAACAAGCCGCCCAAGTTCGAAAGATTCTACTAGGGACTTGAAAGTGAGGTCGATCAATGATCAAGTCCTAGCTATAGGTAGTATCTACCCTGAACAATCAAAGAATTAAACAAAATCCATTATAATGCAACATCTGGAGATTACAATGATACTAAAATCTTCTAAACTATAAAATGTTAATATAATATGCGCTGCAATATAATCAAAACCATTACTAAGATTTCCAAGGAAATTCATGCCATAATTAAGATGATTTTCTGTAGTCAAATAATTTCCTTATAATTGCAAGCCATAGTTAAACCAGAATATATAATACTCATTCCCCAGATCCTCACCCAACTGCAGTTGAAAATGCTCAAATATAAAATTTCTATAGAGAAGCGAACGATTGTAGGCCTAAGAGCTGCACTGTACATACTTATACATACTGTATTTATTATATTCGCCTAGCTTAATATATATTGAGTCCAAGTTAGTTTATCCATGATATGATAAGGTAGTTGAAAACACGCATAAATCTATTCCAAATTAGCCAACGAACTAGAATTTAAGTCGGATATGAGGATACGAATCATAAGACCAACCAACACAGCAGCACCCAAAACGAGAATATTAAAATTGGAATTGCCAAGGCATAATACACATAAATACCTAAACACGAATGTAGCTATACTAAGCTTAACTTAGAAGTAGATGTAAGAAAGGTGCTTTGATTTAAGCCAATTTTTGAATATATCAAAGAAGATAATGAATAAAATATGAAATTTAAATAATACCACTGCTATAATTAAATGATTTTAAGTGCACAGGGGAAAAAGTTGTTTTGGGACATTTCTTCGTCCGTAAATAAATGAAAACGAATTGCTAGAATAACAATTGAAAAATTCTATAATGTACGAAAGGAAATTACAAAACTTCAGGCAATGTTATCGACTAGGTAAACGGCTTCTGCATCGCCGCCGCAGACCAGGCGACTTCCGTGGACATCGAAGGAGTTGACGGACTTGCGGATGTTGCTCAGCACGCCCTCCACATCGACCAGGGAGCGAACTCGATCGCCCGACAGCCAGGGGCTATGCCCATCCTTGTTTGAATCGCAACCGATCCCCTTGTTCTCCGACCACATCCACACCTCTCCGCCCTCAGCGGCGGTAAACAGTTTGCTAGGATCCTTGCGATGGAAGCCGATCTCGTTGATGGGACTCTTGTGGGCACTGAGATAGGAGGCGGGATAGTTGAGGTTGCGCAGATCCCACACGGTTATCGAACCCTCTTCGCTGCCGCAGAGCAAGATGTGCTGCTGCATGGGATGCGTGGAGAGCGAGGAAACAAAGTTCGAGGACTTGTCATCCTGGGAGGCCACCATGAAGGTGACTTTCGGTTGCGCCTCGGTGGCCACGCGGGCGTCCAACATTCGAATGACGCCCATTCGGTTGGCAGTCACCAATTCCTGCTGGCTGATGTAGCAAAGCGAGAAGAGCGCCATGCTGTCCGCCTCAATGGTGCGCTTCACCTGGCGCAAATTTCCCACGGAGACGATGTTAACACAGCCATCTTCCCCTGCGGTGGCAATATCTGTGCCGTAGACGGAGAGGTCGGTGCAGGGAGCCGGCTCCTGGCTGCGTTGGAAGCAGTGCAGCCTTTCGGACCTGGCCGTCCGCTGCATCTGATCCTCCTCCACGGCTCGCTGGACGTTGAACACGCTGAGGTGACCTGGTTATAGAAATAGAGATATTTTGAATGTTGAAGGATTTCCCAGAAGGAGGAGAAACTTACCATCGGCACAGCTCACGGCCAGCGTGTCCTTGTCCACAAACTCCATGGCGGTCACGTCGTCCTCCATCGCCACCTTGTCCATGCAGCGCGGCGTCTGGTCCACATTGTCCGACTCCGTGGCGGTGGCATATTGGTTTGACTGAAGCCTCCAGAGGCGCACGAAGTTCCTGTCCATGTCCCAACTGCCGGTGACGAACCGCTCGCTCTGCTGCAGTTGCTCCGGCAGCCAGCGCACGCGGGCCACCTTCTCGGATATGTAGTGGGTGGAAACGTTTGCCAAGGACATGTTTTCAGTGGTATTTCAAGAGATTCCGCGATATAAACAAAACAAAATTAGTTTGGCTCCAATGCGGTACCGCGAAGTTATCGATAAATTATTCCGGCTGTAAAAAAAATACCATTTATTACTTTTTAAATATACCATTTTGTAGATTTCAAGCTGGTCTGCCTTTTATTTTGGAACACGATATCCCACTGGAGATACTGTCCATCGTGTGGAGAACCCATTTTTGAAATGCATTTCTAAAATAACTGCAGGATTTTCCAATTTATTTGGAGTGCTTAAGTTTATTGATTATGCAAAAAAAAATACATTTAAATCGCCTCCTGTTTCATACTCCACCGTTCCACTTATTTAATCTAGCGGGAAATTAGCTAAATACGATTTGAGGTATTTTCTTATAATTTGGTATTTTTGAGCTGCTGCCCTACTACAGTTTTGGCGGGAATCATTAATAAACAAAACATTGAAGAAAACGGAAAAGAGAACGCGGTTATGGACAAATATTTAATAAAGATGCCAATTAAATCTAAAGCAAACGAAGTGGCCAATCCAGTAAGTAAAACCATTACCTATTTAAAGGAATGAATTTAATTTCATATATTTTAGGAAAAGGCGGTGGCTAAAAAAGAGACTCCCAAGATGCCGATTAAACAACTTAAAAAGGGTACTCCAAAGGAGGTACTATTTCGATATAATTCTTTGTTTTGACTGTACTTGGATATGTAAATCCTAAATACACTTGCTATTTTTTTCCCTATTCCTTATTTAGATAAAGGACAAGGAAAATACCGGCGAGGATAATACCCCGAAGCAAAGGAAAACAGGAAGACCTGGCAGACCAGCTTCTAAGCGAAAGAATCTAGATACCCCAGAAATGAAAGGCGAGAATATTGCGGCAGAGGATGAGAATCCCCCGAAGCGCAGGAGTGCCAGGGTCACAAGGAGCACGCGATCCATGGCAGAAGATGGGCCTCCATCCCCGGAAAACGCCGCAACGCCCGAAAAGCGCAAAAAGGCCGAGAAGCTGCCTTTTATCAAGTACACGGGGGCCATCAAGTACTACACGGAGAACCAGGATATAGCCTCATCCGCCGACGAAGTTTTGTAAGTTAAGAACCAAATCCTTAAAAATAGAATGTTAGAATAATGTAACATTTCCATTTAAAATTAGGCAATGGGTGGAAAAGCAGAAGGAAGAGGTAGTTCCCATGGCCTTCGACATGGAGTGGCCCTTCTCCTTCCAAACCGGTCCCGGCAAGTCAGCCGTCATCCAGATCTGCGTGGACGAGAAGTGCTGCTATATTTACCAGCTGACGAATCTCAAGAAACTCCCAGCGGTCTTGGTGGCCCTTATCAATCATCCCAAAGTGCGATTGCATGGCGTGAACATAAAGAACGACTTGCGAAAGCTAGCTCGTGACTTTCCCGAGGTTTCCGCTGATCCGTTGATCGAGAAATGCCGAGACTTGGGCCCCTGGTGCAACGAGGTCTGTGGAACCGGCGGTCGATGGAGCCTGGAGCGTTTGACCAACTTTATAGCCAAGAAGAGCCAGGATAAAAGCAAGAAGGTGCGCATGAGCAAGTGGCATGTCATTCCGCTGGACGAGAATCAACTGATGTACGCTGCCATCGATGTCTATATTGGTCAAGTTATCTACCGCGAATTGGAGCGACGCGAGAAGGAAAAGCTTAAAAATGAAGAAGAATTTAAGGAGGCGAACGGGGATGCTGCCTTTAAAGCCGTAAAAGCATTGGGTGAAACATTCCTTACCAAGATCAACGAGGTGACTCTTTGAACTATTTAAGGATGCAATTTATATTTACAAATTTTCACTTTTATAGTTAATTAGGGGTTTTCCAATTTAATTATGTTATATTTGTACAATCTCAACTTTTTAACTTGCATTTGATATGATCTTAATATTATTGACATTTAAAGAACTGTTTATATAGACTAGAATTAACAAATTTTACAACTTGTTGATTATTTCAATCTTAACTATGTTTGAGTCCCCCCAAAATTAGCTTTAGAATAATCAATTTTCTACATTTCTCAACTTGCAATAAATTTTAATTTTGTAAATTCGCATTAAACACTTCTAAACACATAATGAACACAGTTGGAGCTGCCCGTGGAGGCGTCACTTGAATTGCGGGCGCCGGGTGCCGATGGCCTCCAGTTTCCGCTTGAGCAGATCGTTATCCAGATCGATCTGTCGCTGGAACTTCTTCCGGTTGACGGCAGCGCTGGAGAGACGTGGCGCCGGCGCTGGCTGACGTTGCTAAGGATAAGGTTAAAGATCAATATTGGATCGCATTTGGCATACTATATTACTTACCTTCTCTGGGCCGTTGATCTTAAGGCTGCTGGTGCTCGCCTTAATCGTGGCCGTGGGCTTCACAGTCATCATCTTTCGGAGTAGGATTTGATTCTGTCGCTCGATCTCACGCACCTGGGGATTCGTAAAGCTGAAGCTCTTGCGTCCCAGGTTCTTGTAGCTAAATAGGAGGATGTTTATAAGACAGTTTTAAGGATTTTTTAAACTAAACTACTCACTTGACCTTGTCGTTGGAGCAGCGTGAACGGGACACATTGATTGGATACTCGCATCCGTCACTGTTGAAGCTGCTCGGAGTGCCGCTGGCCGCTCGCCTCTTAAATTCCGCCGGTCTTCGCTGTTGTGGATGTCTCATGAGTCCATCGCCCTGCCCACATTCGTCCACGAGGTAGTCTTCGTCGATTCCCATGCCCATTCCTAGACCTACGTTTGGTTCCAGACCTTGGACAAAATCCCCACCCATCTGCAGTTCCTGATCCTCTACAATAAGATCCGATTCCGAGGGACACCGGCACTTGGGCCTGATCAACTTGGACGATCTTGTAGTGATTAGTGCGTCTTGGGAGCGCTGCATGCGCATCCTAATCGGCGGTCTTCCTCCTCCCAAACTTCGGGCACTGGTCATCGCCGATTCCGTCGTCATCGATGCCATCTCGGATTCAGTGTCCTCCAGTGTTCTGTGACTGCGCTGATGCATCAAATCCGTGGCCATGGCAAGCTGCTCGAAGGCTTGGCTGTTCGTCGCTCCTCCATTGATCTGGAAGGACTTCATGATCATCTCCGACATCTGGGTCATCTGTTGTTCCAGGTACCGAACTCTCGCCAGATCGGGCTGCTGAGTTGGCAAGGAACCATTGCTATTAAGGAGATCACTGAGGTTCTTTAGAGGCTCCTCCATTGGATCCTCCTCCTCCTCGGGCTCTTCCTCTATCACTGTTTCGGTTTTTGGATGCTGCAAAAGTAAGTAAATATTTAATAATTTTAAAACAATATTAATAGACCTCGGATTTTGCATATTTGCATATTTTTATAGGATAAAGATAGATCAATTCCGAAAACACCAAAGTTCCTTTCAATAAAAAATAGTTTATAGTTTAAAATTAATGGCATATTTTATTTTTTTTGCCTATCTCCATAAAAAGCATATGCATAAAATATGCAAAATATATTCAAGATTGACCATTTCAACCTAATTTACCCGAAGAAAATTGTTTGTTACTTTTCGTCATTTTTTCCCAAATTTAAGGAAACTCTATTTATATTTCCAACGAGTAGGCGAGAAGGGGGCAAAATTAGTAAAAGGGGAAGAATAGTTTTTGGCCCTATCGGCCAAACTGCTCGTTTAAATTGCTCGCCGTGTTTAATGAATGTTCCTTAGAATACCAGAGGGCTGCATTACAAATTTGAGCCTCCAGTTGCTCGCATATATTTTGCATATTTTATGCATATATTTTGCATATTTCCGATATGCATCCGAATTTATTACATTTAAAATTTTTTTTTTTTGGTAAAAATCGGACCAAAAATGGACAAATATGCAAAATCCGAGGTCTAAATATTAACTATCATATCTCAACCATCTTACCTGCTTTTGGAATCTAGGAGAATCCTCCAGGGTGATGTCCGTTTCGTCTCCTGGCACGCACATGGTGGCCACACTGTGCTCGCTGCTGTTGTCGCTGGCATCCACCAGGGACACGATGTCCTCTTGCGGCATCGCAATCTTCTCCTGCACCGTCGGCTTGCTCACGGCCGTGGCTATGGACTCATCCTCCTCCAGTTGCTCCACTTCCACATCGGTGCCCTCATCCTCATCGCTTTCCTCGGCGGACTGGCGACCACCGTTGGACTCCATGGCTCCATCTTCTTCGTCGCTTTGTATTTCCTCCTCCTCCTCTTCGACTTCCTCGACTTCGGCATCCTCGTCCTCCTCCTCCTCCTCCTCTTCGACTTCATCCTTAATCCGGGAATGGGCACTACCTGGTACCAGAGTGCGCTCCGTGGGCGCCTCATCCTCCAGAGGCGTGTCCATTCGCAGACTGAGTTGATTCACCTCGGCCACCGTCTTGGTAATGACCACCTGGCTCTCGTCCTCGGAGGAGGAGCTCAGGTAGGATGCCATACGATCGCGATTGAAGCCGCCGGACGAGCGACCGGGGATTTGGCGACGGGCGTGCGGCTGTGGGCGTGGTGCAGGGTGAGGATTAAGGCTGAACTGGGAAATGGTCAGCTCCTGCAGAGGAGGACTTACGTTTCCGCGTATGAACTCGGCCTCCGCATCACTTTCGCTCTGCGTGTCGCTCTCCTCCAGCAATAGAGCTTCCTTTTGATTGGGCTTCTGCTGCTCCAGCTCAATGGTCTCATCTTCCTCGGCCTCGGCCTCATCCTCCACCTCTTCCTCCTGCTCCTCCACCTCCGATTGCGAGTCCTCCTCGAATGACTCCTCTGCATAGTACTCCTCATCAGAGTTTTCACCAGCTTCCGACATCCTGTAATCGTATCCTTCCTGGGATATTCAGATAAGGTTATTTTCTCCTTTAGGGGGTGTATTCTGTTTTTGAGAGGGGTTGTCAAACGTTTTTAGGGAAATACGTGTGTCTTTCTGTAGTTTACTTAGAGAACTGCCGAAACTCGGAAAGCGCTCAAACTTTGAATTTCGATGCCAGCCTGAGTTGTAGCTAATTGTTTACTGGGTTCGATTTGCAGCGATTTTGATGCGTTGTTCTTTTGATTGACACCTGGCCCCCAGGTTGGGGCAGGTGCTCCTCCTCCTCCTCCTCCGCTCTTCCCCCTTTTTGGGAAAACTTGGCGCCTCCGCGCTGCTCGCAACTTTCAGTCCTTGGCTGCCTTGCGGTGGCTCTGCCAACCGGAGCTCAACTGGAGCTCAGGTGACCGGAGTACCCCCAACCCAGCAAACCACCCACCTGCCCACTTGACACCTGGGAATTTATTTATTCTAGCCAGCGGTTGTCCTGGACAACGGAGCAGGCGCAGGCGGTTTGTTGTTGGTTGCCTCAGCAGCAAGTGCCGGCTTTTGTTGGGTTCATTAGTCAAAACACTAAATAAATCAACTATGGGCTGACGCCAAAGAAAGAAGTTCATTGTTAAAGAAGAAAACAATGGTCTGTGCATTACAAGTTAATTTAACTTACCTATTAATCACTAAAAGTTTTAACAATAAAAATATCTAAAACTTCTTTAAATGTATGTTACAATTTTGAGCAGCAGTTTGTTTTAAATAACAGTTTGTTTTAAATAACCACTAAAATATATTGAAACAAGTTATCGGGTAAATAACATTTTAGTTCAGTTTAAAATATAAAATACTATTTAAAATAATAGTTTTAAAATGGTATTTTTAGCAATGAAAATATCTGAAACTTTTTTAAATGTGTGTTACAATTTTGAGCAGAGTAATTTGTTTTACAGAAAATAAATGTTGTCCAGTAAAAGATATAGAAACTAACGTAGTTATCATGAGAACAACATTTTATTTCAGTTAAAGATAAAAAATACAATTTAAATTAATACTTTTAAAAGTTTTAAAACAAAATTGCTGCTAAAATAATTTTGTAAATTCGTTTTTAAGTTAACTTTTTTTTTGACCATATTGAAATGTTTTACAAATAAATGTATAAAAATAAATAATTATAAAATTCTTAAAAATATTTATTCCTGATATCGTTATATATTTTCTATAACATTTATGGGTTTTTTAAAATACTTGTGTGAGTTGGAGAACTTGTAGTTTGTGTACATTCTACATTTCCCCAAGGTGAACATATCATTGCTATTTATTCTAAGATGTGATAAACGACACCCCCTCAAAGCTCTTGTGCCGGCACCCCTGTAGAAAGGAGCTTGCGCCCAAGCACTTTCTCGCTCAACCTCTCTCTTCTTCGGGCCCTTTCTCTCGGTGCCTCTCCCGAAATCTGACAGTTGAATGAAAGGCGAAGCGGCGTCGAAGTCCGCCGCCTGGTAGCTTCAAATTGTAAATATTGCGAGCGGGTTTCTCGGAGCACCCAGCCCAATTCGACCCCCCAACCCCAGAATCCTCTCCGGAGCAGTGCGCATGGGCGTAGAGAGCCGGCTCCTCGAAAGGGGGTGTCGGAATGGCTGCCTCGCTTTGAGCGAAGCGGCTGCTGTCGGCCAGCGGGCAATTCATTTGGCCAAGAAGCTTCGTGGCGTGCGGGCATGTTGCTGAGCCGGAAAATGCGCGCGTAAACCGTGATAGATGTGTGAGAAAATTGTGGCCCGCAACGGGAAAATTGGCAGAGCAAACAAGCGAGTGTGTAGCGTGCCATGTGCCTGTTCTTGTGCTCGAGGAGTGCGTGAATTTGAATGTGCATGTGAATGAAGTGCCACGGAATCGTAGCGGAAATCGTTTGCTGGCCCATCGACTGGCCAGCCAGTGCGGGTAATTAGCCAGGCTAAAAGCACCATCTTGGCCAGCTGTATAACCGGTTGACTCGATGAACCACAAAAAATCGTAGAGTGAAATAGGCGGCGTTTAGAGATGACCATGTGGAACATACACGGCGTATACGCAATCTGAGCCAGCTTTAATAACTGAAACTCGCGGGGAAACCAGTTTCCTTTCTCCCTTTTGCTTGTTAAATCAATAGCAAATAGTTTGGGGGAAGTTTCTTTGTCCTTTGCATGCGTTAATGTCCTTTTGCAACAGTCGCCTAAGTAATTGCAAATTGCGTGCCGCAAGTTTACAAGTTATTTCCTTTCCCTCGCTCTCACTCTCCCACCCTTTCTCTTTCTCTCTGCCACCTTTTTTGGCTGCAGCAATTTGGCTAAGAGCTTGCGATAGTCGAGGGGGCTGCGGGGGCGGTTGGTTGGTTGGTTGGGTCAAAAGGCGCAGCCACACGACACCAGCCAACAGCCGCAGCCAGAGCCACAGCCACCAAGCCTACAACCTCCAACCTGAGACCTACAACTACGGCCACGAACCACCAGGCCAACCAACAGCCGCAGTCAATGCGGCTAGACCAAGAGCTCCAGCGGCATCAAGTCTTGGCTTGGCTTGGCTTGGCTTCGCTTGGCCGTGGGCTTATAGGACACACATCCGCTAAGACGCCAAATACCCTGTGAACACAACAAAAAATCTGTAACTTCCGAATAGAACTGAACTTTTATAAAATTTAAATTCAGAAACGTAACTGACAAATTTTACGAAAATTTATTAAAAGGGATTGCAAACAAAAATAGAAACCGGATGTTTCGAAACTTCTTGATCCTTGAATGTAGAAGAGCTTTAGAAAGAAATATTGTCTTTAAATAAAGAAACTTCAAACACATTTCGTAATCACCGACGGGTTTCTATTGTTTAAGATTTAACCGAAAATCATTAAAATTATTAAAATAAAAACCTTGTGATTAAATACAGTTTTTGAAATTTAATAATTAGCAAACTCGGCTTAAATGTTTACTCAAAAAGTTATTTAATTTTTTGTCTGTGATAATAACCTATTGATTTGGAGTTTCTCAGTTATGATTTCAGATATTGGTTGGCTTAAACAAATTTAATTTATTAAAGTTATTTCCTATTTAATTAATACATGATCCTTATCGAACAAATCATTTTTCTGTAAACGTTGCGTTTGCTCGGTAAATCATTTCTGCGGTTTGTGCTCGAAAGTTCACTGAGAAGGAAATACGATAAAATTGGACATTTAAATGTTCCCTTTTAAAGCCATTTTAGTTTAAAATTTTTATTTTGAACAATAACTTTTATCTGGTTAAATGTGCTGGCAGCATTGCATTTTCAGTAAAATATCACAAAGCCAAAATCTCTTTAAGCCAAAACTCCATAGGGTTCTTTAGATCAAACGAAGAGTAGAGCTTGGAAAATTAATCCAATTTAACGTCAATTAGAAAAAAGGATAAAGTTTTTATAGAAAAGGAATGAGTTTTTAATAATTTTAACGACGTAGCCATTTGATATCCAACTTTCAAGGGTATGCATAACTTCGTTTTGGACTTGGGCTTAACCTTTCTCGTGCTCGCTCTATTTTTTTGCTTATCGATTTTCGACGGCTGACTGACGTCGGGACTTTGGGCCAAAACTCGAGCCGTGAGCCGGCTAATAATGCTCAGTAGGTCAGCGCCGCGGCAGTTTGAAGTGCGTTAGAAGCAACAGTGGCCAAAGGCGTACTGAAACGAAACCGAAAACTGGCACAGAGCCCCGAAAGAGACGGGAACAGGCGGGTTGAGACGGAGAGAGAGAGATAGGCGGGGAATACGAACCGCTGGCTCTACTTGAGGCGTATAAAAATAGCAGCCAGCTCACACACAAACGCAGTGGCAACTTCAAACGCGCTTGGCCTACATTTCTGGGTAATGGGCTTGGGACGTCAACAACTGCTGCTGGTCCTGCTCCTGCTCCTGCTACTCCTCTGCTCCAGCTCCTCGTCCTTTGGCTCCTACTTGCCGCATACCACTTTTCAGCGCAGCCGTCCACCGCAAACCAAGTTAAATGAAGCACACTCACAAGAACACAGGGAAAAACGAACCGTAGTTTGGTTGCCACCTAAGTTTGATTACCTTTTAGGGGAGAGTGGGGGAATTTCGTCACAGGGGCAATTTCGTCACCTGCAATATCTCGGAATCCATAAGTCGTAAAAATATATAATTTTTTTGTTTTAGTCCTTCAAGACGGCCAGACACAACCAATGCATTTGTTTTGCACAGAAGGCCAAGATAATTAAGCTATAATATTAAATGTGTTTTAACAGTTCAAAAGCTACATTTAGTTCTCGACGAAATTTTTTCTGTATGCCACAATTCAAAAGGAATAAGATACACGATTTTTTATATAATACACAGTGCTATAATGTGCATTTCTGCGTCAGTGATTTTTAACTTCGCGCCTAATTTCGCAAGAAAAATAATTATTTCTAAAAAAGTACGGTCTGGGGAAATTTCGCCACCGTACGCTAAGGGTAAATTCGCACCTATTTTAAATACATATTTTTATATTTGACGAGCTGGCTAACGAGCAGACTACCAGCAGCAGCAACAAATATAGGACGTCAACAAAAATGGTACGCTTGATCAGTGTAGCATATTTTCAGGCGTTAAACTCCCTACATTTTTCAGGTGACGAAATTTCCCCAGTTGTGTGGTGATTTTACCCCCCTGTGTGGTGAGATTGCCCCAGTATATTGGTTTTACATTTTATTTTTTTATAAGTCACCAAGCTAATTAAAAAAATAGGGGAATGTCACATTTTAAAGCTTGGTGCTTACCGCATTCAACAATAAAAATAGAAATATGATAACGTGTCTCAAGATGGACAAAAAATAGCTTTGAAAAAATGCTGACGAAATTCCCCCACTCTCCCCTACTTAAATTTTTAAAAATATTGAAAGATCTAGATTTTCTTTAATTGGTTTTCAAGTCGACTCAAAGAAAGATTAATTGTTGGGGAATATAAAATAACAAGATTATGATGGCAAATATGAAGCATTTAAATAAATTCAATTGTGCAGAGAAAATATATAAATTTCAAGCACTCTGTATCCTTGAAACATTTATAAATAGAAGTTAAGATTATAGTTGACAATTTATACAAAGCAATATGAGTGCTATTTTTCTGCGTGCACCAAATCCAAGGCAAAGAGTAAGAGAAGGGGCAGGAGCAGGACGCAACACAGGATCCAGCACAAGCGGCGTTAATCATACGCACCGTTTGCCAATCCGTGTCCAGCGAATGCAAAGTCAATCAGCGTTTAATTGACAGCTGCAGTCACTGCCAGATACGGCCAACAATGGTCCGAGAACCGAGCACAAAGTACCGAGTACCGAAAGCCGCCCAGCAAGCGGCACTCAGGAACAACAATTAAAACGGCAACCCACTGAACAGGATTTGGTTTCGGTTACGCTTCAGCCTCCTGCTGCTGTGACGCAGGCCATTAGGGTTCCAAAAAGAGGAGGAATCGGCTTGGGAGGTATTTTTGATTAATGATTTCAAGCGAAGGTTGACGTAACAATTTTGTGCGGACACTGTAAATTGTCGATCATCAAACAATTGTAGAGCTTAAATAATAACTGAATCTTATTTTGTTTATACAATTTTTAATATTAATATTTTATAACCAATTTTCCTTATTTTCTTTTTAATCATTTTTAAATCCGTACAATAAAAACTTTATTTACAAAACTATATGGGAACATTAAAGAAATGCTTTAGTTTAATTATAATATTTTTCTTAAAGAACGACTAATTGCCTTCTCCAAACTTTATTGATGAGAGGTTATATAAAATCAACATTTTCCTTGGCCCTACAAAATTAGCTGTATTGGTTGTTTCTGACCAGAGATTGTTTTTCGGGAAAGGAGAAAATCGAAAACCGCAGAACAAGTTGAAATCAGCTTAGGGCCACCCCCTCTACCACCCCCCTCTTACCAACATCTCCCCCTATTATTAGCCATATGGCTGTCAGTGATTGGTGGCAGTTGCTGCGGCAGCTCGAAACTTATCGCTCGATTGCAGATTGTTTCTCGGCTGCCAAGACGGCGCCGCAAAGTGTGCAGCACTAAGTAGTCGCAAGTTGGTGCCTCTGGCCTCTACTTCCTCCTTTTTCCCCTTCAAGTCATGGCATTTTCCAATTAGAACTGCCTTTTGGCCTGGCCAAGAGGGAAGGGGGAAAGCGGGACTGGTGCCAAACATGCGTGGCACGTGAGCGGCAAAGGTAAAAACTTCTCGTTTCCCATGTGCGTGTGTGTGCATGTAAATTACAAAATCGTGCAAAAAAGGTGCCATTAAAAAGGCAGAAAGAGGCGAAAAAAAAGGAACAACACCCGAATGGCAACTTTAAATGAACATCGCGTTGTGCATACCCTAGCAGACCTGTTCAAACATTAATGTGAGCAACGCAAAAATTACTGACAGAAGGGACTTTCATTGGACTTCCGAAATAAAAAGGATAAACATGGGTGTGATACTTTTTCCAATATATATTTATTTATTTCTGTTTAAGAGAACTTATAAGCTATAAAAAATCTATAAAATGAACTGAAAATAATTTCATAGCAAAAGTGAAAAATGGAAACATTTATTAAAAGTATTAGATACAATTCTTAAAATTTTAAAAGTTTCCTATTTTTTTTTATGAGTATTATTTAATAAATAAATAAATTTTAAAATAGTCTGTTTAATTTTAAATGTTCATGGAAAAATTAAACCGAGACATTTCTTGTTTCTAACATTTTAATTTTTTTAAATTGGTAATTATTTGACATTATATTTTTGGAGCTTAAGTACAGGCATATTTAAGTACCTTAAATTAGGGTATCTGCAAGGAACGTCGAATGTTATGCCTGGCAGGGCAGCAATTTAAATTCTCGCTTCACGCCCGTGTCACGCTTTAGTCTGAGTCTCTTTTTGTCCCCGCTCGCATTGCGTATACGCCGCGTACCCCTCGCATTACGCATACGCCGCCTATTCCACTCGCTACCGTTCGCGTTGCGTATACGCCGGGTACGCCGCCTACTCCCCTTTCTCCTCATCTGATGTGCGATGTGCGTGCGTGTGCTGCATAATTACAGGTGCGCTGTGCTGTTGCGGTCGTGGATGATGCGGCTGGCGCTGGCGGTGCCAGGAGCACACTTCCCGGGCCATAATTGTCGGTTGAATGACTCTCGATGCGATAGCAATAACAACAACAAAATCAACTGCTCCGGCAGCCATAATATTCATCACGGTCGTTCCATTTGAGGCCAAAGGAGAGGAGCACGAACAATTGCCGACAGCACCACCGCTAAATTTCGGACATTGCGACATGTTAGCAAGGGCAAAAGCAACACAACAGCAAAAGCAAAAACGACAAACATTCAATAAAAGAACTAACAAAAAGAGGCGATCATCAGCAGGTTTGGTTCTAAAAAAAGATGGTTCTCAGCACCGAATGGTCGCAGGTGGAGGTCATCGATCTGATCAACGATGGCAACGGGCTGGGCTTCATCCTCGTGGGCGGTCGCAGCACCGGTGTGGTGATCAAGGCCCTCACCCCGGGGGGCGTGGCCGAGAGGGATGGCCGCCTGCAGCTGGGCGACCATCTGCTGCAGATCGGCGAGGTCAATCTGCGTGGCTTCAGCTCGGAGCAGGTGGCAACAGTTCTTCGTCAGACCGGAGCTCAGGTGCGTCTGATTGTGGCGCGGCCGGTGGAGCCGACGGCCATCGATTACCAAACGCTGGCCTGTCAGGCGCCGATTATACCAACTAAGCTCCTCTCCGACCCGGAAGAACTGTCGCGTCATCTCTTCCAGAATCCCAGTTTTGCAACAGCGGCCGCTGCTGCTGCTGCTGCTGCGGCTGCTGCAGCAGGCTCCACCGGTGGTGGCGATGTCCTGGATGTGGCCAGTTTGGTGGGTCTGGTGCGCGGTGGTCCGGCTGAGGGCTCGGAACTGTCTGCCGTGGAACCACCATTGGTTACTGCTCCCGCTCAGCTGCAACTGAGCGAACTGGGCGGCGACCTGGCTGACTTCCCACTGCCTCCGATTCCTGGCGTCCAATCCGAATCCAACGGAGCTGGACAAAGACCCTGCCCGCGACTGGATCTGGACATCGTGCCCTTCTCCATACTGTCGCCTCCGCCAAGACCCGCCCTGCAGATGCTGCCCCTGGAGACCCAATGGCAGAACCACCAGCACATCGAGACTGTGATAGCCGATAGCAAGCGCAAGAAGCTGTTGGCCAACGAAGATGGCGGCTCCTCGGGTTCCGCTTCCGCTTCCGGTTCCGGTTCGCCCGACTCCTACATGGACTCGCCGGAAACGGAAACCTATGTGGTGGAGCTGCACAAGAACGTCTATGGACTGGGCATCACGGTGGCCGGCTACGTTTGCGAGGAGGAGGATCTGTCGGGGATCTTCGTGAAGAGCATCATCGAGGGCAGTGCCGCGGAGACCAGTGGTCAGATCCAAATTAACGATCGCATTGTGGCCGTGGATGGGAGATCCCTGTCGGGGGTGACCAACCACCAGGCGGTGGAGTTGCTGCGCAACACGGACATCGAGGTTCATCTGACCCTGGAGCGTTTCCTGAGGGGCAGGAAGTACGAGCACCTGCAAGTGGCCCTCACGGAAATCAAAGGCAGCTCGGCGCCCTCGGGCTTGGATAGAAATCAGGACAAGGACCAGGATCAGGAGTCGCAGCTTTCGATGCCGGGCTCACCGTCGATAGCCACGCTCAGTTGGCTGCCACCCAAGTCGCTGGATGCCGATTCCATAGCCACCGAAGGCGACGAGGCCGTTGAGGCGGAGGATGTTGGCATTTCGGGGGCAGAGGATGAGTTCCAAGAGCTGCCATCCCGGGACACCGTGGAGTCGAACATGTCGCACGTGCTGGACCGCAGTGATCACAGTGGCGGAGGAGGAGGAGGGCCCAGGATAAGTCCCATAGCTCCTCCGCTCACCAATGGCCGTAGTTTAAACCTGGCCGATGACAGTGGCAATGACACGGATGAGCAGGGCCATCAGAATGATGAGCCCGTGGCCCGCAGGTTGTCCAAGCCAGAGACGGTGGAGAGGTTGAAAGATGTGGAAACCGAAACCGATCCCGAAACCGATCCTGGCCAGCTGGCCACGCCCACGAACGAGGCGCCGGCACCTGTGAAGGCGGCCAGCCCGACAGCCGCCTCGCTGCGCGTGGCCTGGAAAAGTGAGTTTCCCGACAGTGAAATTTTAGTTGCCGAAATAAATAAACTTTCAGGTCTAGGGATCAGCCTCGAGGGCACCGTGGACGTGGAGTGCGGCATTGAGAAGCGTCCGCATCATTACATACGCTCTATCCTAGCCGATGGGCCAGTGGGTCGCCAGGGCATCCTGCGTCCTGGGGATGAGCTCCTGCAGGTGAACGAGCACAAGCTGCAGGGATTGCGGCACATCGAGGTGGTCAAGATCCTCAAGGAGCTGCCCGCCAGGGTTAAGTTGGTCTGCGCCCGCGGCACTCGCGTTCCGTCGATCATAAATACCTCGCAGAATCCGGAGGCCTTCGAGACCCGCAGCCTTCTGCCCGGCGGCCACCAGAGTCTCCAGAATCTGCTGAGCAAGGCGCAGTCGGAGAGCTCGCTCTACACGTCCAGCACGGCGACTTTAACGGATGCGGGAGGAGCAGCCGGAGGATCGGGAGGAGGAGCAGGAGGAGGTGGAAATGGAGGAGCTCGATCCAAGTCACTGGAGAATGTCTCGGGGTTGGCTTTGTGGAGCTGCGAAGTGACCGCCGTGGATATCGAGAAAACGGAACAGGGATTCGGATTCTCCATTTTGGACTACCAGGATCCCCTCGACTCCGAGGGCAGTGTGATCGTGATTCGCGGCCTGATACGCGGTGGTGCTGCGGAGGCAACCAATGAGATATATCCGGGCGATCGGCTGATGAGCGTCGGCGATCGACTGCTCCAGGGCCTCGAGCTGGACGAGGCGGTGTCCATCCTGAAGGCCATGCCGCCGGGACTCACGCGACTGGGCATCTGCCGACCGCTCTCCGCCTCGGACAGCAACAGCAATAGCAATATAGCCTCGCCCCTGGGCGATTCCGCCAGCACATAGTGGCAGCCCCCCCTCCCCGACGGCCAGCAGGAGTCGGAGATGGAATTGGAACGGGAACTAGAAGAGGAAACTGAAGCGGAACTGGAGCAGTTCGCATTGTGTGAGTACCTTTATACATTTATAGTATAAATTTTATACTACATTTTTAGATCAGAAAATCCTAAGTATATTATTTAGATAAATATATATTAAGCACAGTTTTTAAGGGGGAAAAAATATTAACACAATATATGATTGAACTGAATCAAAAATATATCAAAGTTAAGAGATCTAAATTAAATGACTGCATTTTGGACTTAAAAATAAAGTAAGGCTGGAGGTATTTTGAATAATTACTTAACTTAATAGAATTCTAAAAACGAAATCAATAATTTTTAATTACTGATTATAGTTTAAAACATTTAATTTTCTGACAATTGCAGCATTCTTCCAGTTCAGTCTAGTTCACTTTACCAGTTCATTCCAATAAAATTTGTTTGCTTTGTTTAGTCTTTGATTTCTTAAATGTGTGAAAAAATGTATAGCTATCAACAATGCTTTATTTGGAAAAAGTGTTGTTTTATATACCAGGCACTTACAATAATAGCTAAACAACATTTTATTTTCATAAACTAAGAACCAAGAAGGTAATCCTATCCATATAAATCAAGAATAGTTTGGTATGAATCAATATTTGATAACAAGAAGACAAAAAAGATTTAAATATATACTTTTCAGAAAGTGTTTGACTGATTGGTTCGACAGCTGTCCTCAATATTCAATATGAATCCGAATCGACATTGAATCAGAGGGGAAGCGAGTTCTTATTAAATTGTCACCTTCCACACCTGGTGCCAATTTTCCTTTAGGTTTTTTCCTTTCCTCTGAGTGCAGGGTTAATCAAGTGAGAGTATATTTTAGCTTATATTCCCGAATACCTTTTTTGGGGATGACAAATTCTGACACATCAGTGAGCCCCAAGTCAATTTAATGATACACCATTTAAGGGTTAGCTCAAATATATGAGATTTTCCTTTTTAATTGTTGCCCCTGGTAACGCCCAAAAGTCATTTTAAATGGGTTACGCCCACCTTCGGTCAGAAATCGGAAAATAAATGTGGATGGTCATGGGTCCATTGTCAAATTGATGACCGCTTGATATGCTTTTGAAGTATTTCACTGTTCATACGCCTACAATCCTCACTGTCTGCCCTTTTCCTTTTTATTTGATATATATATTGACATCTATATATAGATACCTATATTGACCACAACCTTTTCGTGAGGCTAATTTGCTGGCAACCTTTTGCCTTTTACTTCTTCTTATAAATAATTCGGTAGAATTTTCTATTCTTATTTTTTGTTTGCTTAGTTTACTGGTATAAATAGTGCTCTATTTGTTTAAACCATAATGTTAAATAATGTAATGTTAAATACTGAGGATATTATTATTATTTCCTTATTTATACATATTTTTAATAATAACAAGTAAGTTTTATGCCAAAATTGGGAATCAAGGGAACCGCCTTGAAAAGTTAAGAGCACGACAATTATATTAGTTAATTTAATTTAATATAATTTCCTACTAATAATACCTTTACGAACTTCTTCCCTTGTTTGCCCGACAGCAACGCATAATTCTTGTTACAAACTTAGCCACACTTCTCATCTTGTTTAATTCATTATATTTGTAATTAAACAAAGACAAAATTGCCGGGCGTTTGACATATGCTGAAAACTTTTAATACCCAACACCTAAAATGCTGAGACTTTTGGGGTGGCGAGGGGGAAAGTGTCTGCAAGGAAGCCGGGTCGAAACTTTCCCCACACCATCCTCACTTACGAAAATCAAGTTCGGTCCACACAGTTTCGGGACCTTCTTCACGCATAAATAATTTATGCGTAGATATAAATACGAAAGTTTGACAAGCCAAGAGCTGTGCTGGACGAAGGATAAACTGAAAATTACCACTAATCTCCTGGGGTCGACATTTTCTCTTCATGTTAACCTCATAAATAGTAATTATCTTAATTGGCTCTCGCCGTTCTCGCATTCATAATTTACAATTTGTCTGGCCGGCTGGACTTTGTTTAAAAAATCATTATTTAGCAATAGTTGGTCAGCATAAATTATAAGGGAAAACGAATGCTGCTGGCTTGGCCGTGTGGCCAACTGGCAGTCAAGTTGGCCGATGATTTATGCATGTGGCGATAGCGAAAAGTTCCTTTCCTCAAAACTATAGTTGGATGGTGGGAGGTTCCAGGTGCGAATCAGGTGGTCTGCGAAGCGAGCCAGTGGCGGTTGAATAATAAAAGCTCGGCCAGCAATTATAAAAATGTTTGCTACATGTGCAAAAGGCCGATGGGGAAATTGTTTTCAATATATACCTGCGTATATATATCTCACAGAAGCCGTATAGAGTTATATGTACCCGCGGATATTTATGCAAGTGTGTGTAAATATTTGGCTGGATAGTCGTTTGTTGTTGTTTGCCCGTTTAATTAATTGGCTATTAAAAGTGTTGAAAATTGAATACAAAATTTAACGCCACTGCAGCAGCAACAACAGCATAAAAATAGCTTACCCACCGGAATTTGTAGGTTAAAAGTGAAAAACTGAAAAATAGCAGCACCAGCAAGTTGTTCCTATCAAATTAAAAATAAGAAATTACGTGTAAATGCTGGAATTAAATACGAAAACCACATAATTATTATGTTTTTATTCCACCATAGTTGATATAGAGAACTGTAAAAAAAGGGAAAGTAAATTTCGCTGAGTCAATACCCTTGGCAATAATTCTCCCACAATAAGCGAATTAAATGCCCCACAACAACCACGTGGATTCGTTGTTCGCCTTTGTTTACCATGGCGGTCAAAATATTTACGCAACTAAAATATAATAAGCATAACAAACAGCATTTCACAAAGGTATTATTACCAAACTTTAGCAATGAATAGGGTAACATCAACTTGTGCTAATTACGCATTCTAGCACTTTACTAAAACCATAAACTATGTGAATATTTTACAAATTCATAACTCGTTTCGGAGGTTTTTTATATACACCATTTGCTTTTTTTATTTATTAAATATAACAATAGAATATTCAAAAATGTATATGTGTATATGATTAAATGAAGAAAACAATTGTAACAATACTTTTCTATAGCTGTTTCTGGGAAGGCCTTTAATAACATTTTAATTAATGAGACCAGCGTCATGGCCCAGAATTTGCGAAATCATGAATTGTTTACAGTTGGCAGCTTAGCCAGCCTGATGCGCTGGCGTTGCATTTTAAATCAAATTAATGTAAACAATGGCAGGGATGTCAGTTCGGATGGACAGTCTGCCAATTGGCTGCAGCACCGATAATAATGGTTCAAGAACGACTGACAGAGGGCGGGCCGATTTGCATTTATGGCGTTCCAATTTTACAAATGTAAATATGAAATATCAACATCATAATTCCACCGGCGAACATGTGTGGGCGATTAATGCTGAAGCTGCCGCCTTTGTTGCACGGTACTTGCATTTGCATTTTCATTTGAGTTTCAATTTGCTGATTGCCATTCCATTGAAAGCCTTTCAAAGAAATCTGCCAAGGAATTCATAATTTATTAAGATATTTTGTTTTTCTAAACGAATTCCCCAATGAAAATATTTGCTGTAAGGGATTTAGGCTAAATCAAGTGAATTTATCGAAGAAAATCAAAGAAGGGATTAACAATTTAAGCTTGGAATTGCCGAAGTATATAAATATCTGGTATATTTCACTTATCCAAATAGGCCCAAAGGAAAGTATTGCATTTCCTGCATTTAGAATTTTTTCATTAAAACGGCTCTGGGCCTGATTGCCGGTTCTTCGAGGATATTTGCGCTTACAAGTAAAACAGACTGCAAAAATAATTACGACAGAACAAAAAACTCATTAAAACGCATTGCACACACCGCAAACATAGCCATCAGTGGGTGTGAGTGAGTGTGAGTGAGTGAGCCTTCTAAATTTCCACAGCCCTGCCTGCGTCCCTGGCATTTCCATTTCCGTTTCCTTCGCCCAGGAGTGTCGGCCATGCATGGAAATCTATCAACGTCTGTGCCTGGAAGGCACTCTCCCCGTTTTTCTGCTGGAATGCCTTCTTTTGTGCACCGAAAACAATTAATACCGGATGTTTGTCGCAATCATAGTTGTTTTTTTACAAAGTCTCAATTTTGAGAAAAACCAAGAAAGCAGATGTTAAAGGGCTGTGAAAAATATCTCCCAATTCAAAAAGAGGTTAGAACTAAAAAACTTTTTAAAAAATAAAAAAATACATTTATGCTATAAAGATGAATTAATATTTAATTTGATAACTTGTTGTATGCGCTTAAGATATGTTATAGTAATTACTATAATATATATTGGCAATATATTGGTAATACTGTTTCTGCATATAGTATTACTTTTATAGTTCGAATTTTTAGTGATAACCCTGAAGTTAATTAATAACCTCGCTTTCTTTAAGTTCAAAATGAAATATTTTGCTCTCTTTTTAAGTACCCCGAATTTCCCTCTCTGCACTCATATGTAAGCACGTAAAGCGGGCTCTGGCACAAAAAACATTTATTTAATGCAACAATTGTGTAGATGAGGCAGCTGCCGGATCCGGGGGAATGGAAAGGAATGGAATGGAGAAACAATAACGGGGCAAGAGCATAATACAGATAGCGGCAAGGAAGCGCAGATCCACTATATAAAGCACCCCCTGTAGCCTCCGACGTCACCCTCTCAGTTCACCCTCTTTGTAATTGTCTGTGCATGAACTTCAAGCTTACACTGTGCAGAAACAGCAACAATTACAACACTTACAGGAACGGCAACGGCAACATCAGCCTCAAAAACAAAAACAACAAGTTGCTTTCTTTATCTTGGCATATCGACAACAAGCTCATCATCCCGTGCTTTGTGCCTCCCCATCACCCATACGCCCCGTGTGCTCAGTGCACTCTCGAATGCGTTGAGAATCAGCTTGGCTTCAGTTATTTTTTCCACAGAGTACCCTGTACTTTTTCGGATCACGGCGATGTTTGACTTGTGTACACAATAAATATTACTGATTTTAATGTATTAAAATAAAAGTTAA